GCGCCCGCTGATGCGTGGATCCGAACGCGTCGCTTTGATACTCGAAACAGAGGCCTGCGTCGCCCGCCATGCGATCATTTTTAATTGCGAATCATCGATGCGATGGGAGGCTGTATTTTTGGAGCAGAATCTATATATCACGTGTTCGTCGATCGCACAATGTATTTTCATACACTCGCCGTGATCTTGCAATCAATTTTCGTATCTCGATCCTGTTCGTGTTTAAACAAGGAAGAAAACTTTTAGCGGGCACCTTGAGAAAGATTTTGATGTAAAATCGTAGTGGAAAATTATATCTATTAACAAGGATTGTTTAGCGTTTTTCTGAAATTTTTTAACGTTAGAAAGATATGACTCTCGAGTCGAAAATGACTCAGAGAGTATGACAATGTTAGTTGATTAGATGACCGATTAGAAGATAGGAGAATTATTTTGCAGTTTCAATGGTAGAGATTTGATATCGCAGCTTCGCGATATGATTTAACACTTTGCTATGTTTGTTATTCCGAGTTTTAATCCGTACGCTACTTTTAAAATTAATTTCATCGATTCTTTTGGATTAGTTTCTAATTTCAAAGGAAACAAATTCCTTCGATTTTTAAGTTGCAAATTTTCAAGATTTCTCGAATACCAATCGCGTTTCTAGATAGTGAAATTTACCAAAGGCGGAGCCGATCGATTAAACTTTCGAGAAGCTCGTACATCGTTGTCCATGCTCACACACTGAACGAGAATAAATTTAAACAGCAAGTAGGTTACAATCGAATTGTTCAGCGAACTTGAACTGCGTGTTTTATTGCACATTGTGAAAGTTGAAGTGGCATTGTTCAATCAAACTAGTTTATCAACAACCAGTTGCTCGATCAGAACTACCATCGAACGTGCAACTTGTTTACGCTAAAATCTTATTTATTCCTGAATTTCTCTGCTTCGTGTTGACCGAAAAATAAAAATGTTCCCTCTGAAAGAGAAGTTGTGCGTGGCTGAGGATCGCAAAAGCCGGTTTTCTCGCGAAAAATAAATCGCCTCCGTTCGCGACGAGGCGGTTGGATCACGAGTTTCCACAGGTTTCGCTGGGTATTCGGTAGTCCAGGCACGTAGCCCAGGGCCCTCTCGTGGAATATTAGCTGGTAGTTGGTTCGAGCCCACATTGGGTCGAGCTCGCGAACGACAGACGTGCATACCGTATTAAGCCCCCAGGGACTTTGCTGCCGCGTTACCAAACACCGACACACTCCACGTGTGTCCGCCGTGTCGGCCAGCTTCAACACGCGCGCACGAAAGCGCACACTAACGGCCGCGAAAGTGTCTGCGCTGCCGCGTATATCGGCGCACAGTGTGCAAATACTCCGGTATTCATGAATCCCCGGTACTCGCCCACGGGAAATGCACGCTCGACCACCGCGAGATCGACTCTTACCCGGGTGCCACCCCCGCGAAACATAACCTTGGTCCGCTGGACGCCACGGCGACGTGAATTCGTCCCTCGAAATAAATACCAGCCTCTTTCGTTGGCAGATCAACGTTTTGACTAGGTATTGTTGGTCTACCATATATATCACACACGTACACAGAAATTTGTATTTTTGCGCCAAATTTACGTATTTATTACATTAGAATACGATTCTCTGTTGCTGGTAGACTACTCTGGCAGGTTTTCACTGGATATTGTGCATCTATGAGACTCCGTGAACCGAATGTTTCTTGTTTTACGTTATTTCACATGAAACAACGTGTGTACACCAAAATGCGATTTATTATCGTTGGCGAGTCAACGTTTGGACTAGGTTCGCTGAGCTATGCATGTTTCACATATTGGATATTATGCGGTTCTTTATATTAAATCTCTATTTTGCGCTAAATTATAATACGTATTCATTATAATAAATTCGATTGCCTGTAGTTGGTAGATCCACGTTTTAAATATATTTAAGCAATGCAATAGTTCAGCGAATATCATGAGATTCCATCTACTAAAGTTTTATTTTACTGAACATTAATTTATATTTATTTCATTGTAGCTTATTTGGTGCGTGTTTCGTTAATTATCCTGCGAAATTCGAAGCAGCCCGATGCAAACCGAACCGTTCGCAATTCTCGGCAACGCGATTCTCTACGATGTTGTTAGATCGATCGGCTTGACGACAAGATTTTGAAACGCAGTTGCAGCTAGGAACCGGACTCAAAGGGTGGCGATGCGATTCTCCCCAGCGCGAATTAACGAAATGCTTTTCACGCGAGAGGCTCGGTTACAGAATGAAAGGCGAAACTCGTCGTTGTCACGGATAGGAATCGGCGTCGAAGAGGATAGGGGGGGCAGGGCGGGGGTTGCAGGGGGCGAAGGTTTCCGCGGCGAAGCGTCGACGATCCAGGTCGACGAGTGGCAATTAGGCAAATGAATAATTTCCACTGAATTAAGCCAGACTCGCTCGACGAAAAAGGCGATAATGCGAAAAGCGACGTAAATAGAAAGAGGAGAAAACGGGACGAAGAGGTGAAACGTGGAGACGAAAGAGATGGAGCTGTGGGGGTGGGACGTGGGACGAAGGGAGAAACAGAGAGACGTTGGAAGGGCAAAGGGACGGGGGGATAGAGTGAAAAGTGGCGGAACTAGCGAGGAGAGAATCGTAC